TCCAGTAGCCACTTGCTCTCCTCTGAGGCAGAGCTCTGTGCAAGAACTGGCAGGAGATTCATCCCCCACCAGGACAGTCCCAGCCACACGGGCCTGAGACAATTTCTTTTGTGTTCAAAGCTGTTCTTGCTGCTGTGCAACCAAACTGCAACACAAAATGAAGCTGTAGGAGAAAACCAAAGGGGGCCACGGTCCCACTGCTCTCTAGGGATTGCCACTGCAAAAACAAAACATAAACCACTTTGTTAACCTGTGTTTTGGGGATGCAAACCTTAGTGCTGCAGAGCCCACATCCCCCCTGCGACAGCCCTGCACAGCACCACACCATGCACCAGCACCCCGGGAGGAACACAGCTGGTGTGTTTCCAGTTCAGCTGCTGCCCCCAGGCTTGTCCTGCCATTACCACAGAGCACTCTGCCCTAGCAGAGTGACACAACACCTCCCAGACACACAGCATTCTTTGCACGGCCTCTCCTCCCTCATGTTCACCCCAAACAGACAGTTTTACCCTTCTAAACATAACAACTGGAAGCCAGTTGTCAGAGGGGTGAAAAGCCAGTTCCCCCCAGCCCATTTCCACCCGTGCCATGGCAGCACATTCAGAAGGGGGTACCAGCACATGAGATCACTGAAGCCACTGTCCCAGCTAAGCCCAGCAGCGGGGCTGGTAAGACCACACAGTGTGTCACCAGAGGGTTCAGACCTGCTCCTCAGTGGGGCCCTGCCTGCACTCCTGGAGCTCTGACCAAACACAAAGACTGGAAGATCTCTATCCCCTAGAGTCTGCATTCCTAAATTTAGTGTGCAGAGACACTCCACGTTACTTGGCTCACAGTCATTATCTTTGTATCTCACTAATGACGACACTGTAAACTGAATAAAGACTATTTAATGTTCTTTCCTTTAACATAAAAAGACTGACAGCCAAAGCCAGAAGGATGGATAGAACACTATAAAATTACATCTTTTAAAATAATGCAGCATAAATAAACCATTTAGAATGAGACTGCATTTATTGCAACATTACAGGCTTTTTGGTGGAAGGGGGGTTTGTGTTTTATTTACCCTGAGTAGGTTAGAATATAGACTTTCAGTTTGATATGAAAAACTACTACGTTGTGTAACATCTTTTAGTCAAGAAATAGCCCCATGCACAAAAAGCTGGCATTGCATTAGGTTGGAGGCAGATTCAGGCAGAAATTATATAGCTTAACAGAAAAAAAAAAAAAGCACACAAAAGGAAGCATTTCTATGGGCAGCTGAAGGACAGACTCACTGAATTCACACCAAATTTATGTTGAATCACTCTGAAAATTTCCCTAGGGTTGTTCTTGACAAAGGATGAGAGTAACCAGCAAAGGCACCACGCTCCTGATGAAACAGTCCTGGGGGTTAAGAGGATGACTTGTTTCTGAACAGAGCCAAATACATCAAAAGAGCAGACCCATCTGGAGGCACTCCTGTGACCTGCCCTAGACTAGATGGTCCTGCTCTGGCAGGGGGGCTGGACTTGATCTCTGGAGGTCCCTTCCAACCCCTGACACTGATTCTGTGATCTGGGACTCGCTGCATCTCTCAAAGAGAGGCAAAGGAAACAGACACCTGAGCAAGCTGGGGCTCTGTGTTCCCGTGCTGTGGCACAGTGTGTGCCACCACACTTGTTAAGTCCTAAGGAAATTAAATGAACAGATCTACCAGGAACACAAGGTACTTGTGCTCTACTGAAATAAACCCCCCAGAATTTCTGCTGGCTTTAGTAACAGCGTTAGTACAAAGCAAACCCAGGCATCAGCTCCCAGCTCAGTGATGTGACAACCGCATTCCAATACAATTGCAGATAAATCACCTTCTACAATAATGCCATTCTCTACCACAGCAAATTCCTTTCCTGGGCTCCCCTCATAGTGCACAATTAGTATCAGTATCAGGCATAAGAGACAGAAGAAAATTATAGACCCAGGGAGTTGTAACAAACACCCACTTGCTGCCAGTACCTTAATCCCAAAGTGATGTGCAACTGGAGACAAACTAACCCCCCTTTTTCTTTTTAAAACTCTTCTTGCACACGAGTAACCTTAACTTCTGTGTTCACATATGACAAGCAAAAGTGACAGACAGTGCAGCCAAAACAGTTCATATATAACTTAGATTTTTCTTTTTTTTTTTTTTTTACCTTTTCTTTTTTTAGATAGATTCTTGAAGATGGATGTACCTGGGATGTGACTAAGATGACATCTGTGAAGCAGAAATAAGCCACAAAACTTCCACAAAGGAAGGAAAACAAATCGATCCTTCAGTTTCTGCTTCTAAAGGGAAGGGTTTTACCCTCCAGGTGCAAAGGAAAATCTGGAACATCTTCACTTTGAGAAGCTGCTATTCAAACCAATATCTTCCTCACCCTGCAGTAGTGCTTCGATTTGAATCATATTAGATGGGGTTTCAGGGCTTTGGAGGGACAGGAAGTCGGATACATCCATGGCACTTAACTTTTCAGTCTGTGAGTCGGAAGGGTTAACTATCTGACTGCTCTGCCCACAGGAAGGAGAGGGGGAAGAGGAAGAGAAGGTCTGAGGCTGCAGCTGGGGAGCTGGCTGCTCCAAAGCTTTAGAATCAGGCGAGGAACATTCCTTCTTAACAGTGGCTTTGTCCTTGGCAGAGTCCCGGCAGGCACACTGACATTGGCAGGCCTCCTCCTGCTTTATAATGATGACAGGAACACTGAGACCAATCTGCTGAACAGGGTTTCCTGAAGGTGAAACAAAGACAAAACACAATGGAACTACATAATTTCACAGCAGGGAGAGACAAATTATCTTTGTTAAACCAGGCTGGATGTTCCCTGCAGCAGAGCTGGTGTGTTCTGTTCAAGCACAATGAACACCTCCAGCAGATGATCAATAAGAAAAAAGCGGCAGGTACTCTCTTGATGAGTAACCTGCTCAAGCTGAACCCAGGCATCACAAGTCAGATCAAAGTTTTTTTACACAGCACAATATGTCTCTTCTTTGACAAGCATCATACCTTTTACAGCACAAAATCCAATAAAGAGCAGTATTCAAAGCCCCACTCCCTACACACCGATCCGTGAGGATGATACAACATCACACCAGCAGTTTGACTCCCTGACTCCAACACAGGTATTCTCCTGCTCATTTTCCCCAAGACTGCTTCCCTCCTCGCTCTTGCTTCTCATGCTTCCTCCTCGCTCTTCCTACGCTGCTCTACTTGCCCAGCTTCCTTTCTTTTTTAAAGTTGAAGTTCTGAACTTACGCAATCTCTCCTGACCCTGATTGATTCAGCTCTGCAATATAACAACACTGTAGGAAGCATGTTCTAGAACAGAATTTCTACAGTTGTGTAGGATTTTGATGTATCTCAGTGTTTACCAAAAACAATTGTTGAAGAACTGATTAAGTTTACTACTTGTTTCATGTCTTCCCTTTAAACAACAAAAACCAAATTATGTCCTTCCATTTATGGTGTTTTTTTTTTTCCTCCTACATGACTTCCACTACAATACCATTTTTATGACTACAGGATGGAACTAATTTGTGAACCTGATTATCTTACAAGTCATTAGAAAAACTACTACAGGACAGACCAACTACAGTGCAAACCAACGAGCCTACAGCAGACTTGCACTTAAAACCTCAGGAAGGTAAAAACACGGAAGGGTTTACTTCAACATTTCTGCAAGCAATAAAATCACCACAAATGCTGGTCAAGCTAACAGTGCTACAAACACACAGAAGGACAGAAAAGCAATTTCAGTGTTGAGCTTACCTGTGTTGCCAGCTACTGGTAATGCAGTGGTAAAAAATACCTTTTCTACAACTTTTGGAACTTGTGGCTTTAAGAAAAAAACAAAAACAAAAAGACAACACGTGTGAGTTGATTCTAATAAAATTTCTATTGTTCAAATTCTAAACAGCTGCAAGCAAATGAAACAGCTACACACATATTCCAAAGAGAACACACAGGAAAACTAATAACTAAAATTTATAACATGCAGCTTGGTTCTGAGCTATGTTCTGACTACCCCAAAACTCAGAGTATTATTTCAGTAGCCCTCAGGATGGGGAGTAGTCACTCTTGCACCACATCCTGGTTAACACAGCTTGTTGTTTTTGACAGCTGAATTACTGGATTCTTACACTGCTGTGCTTGCCCATATTGCCTGTACCTGCAGCCACTCACTGCTGACCACCGGCATCTGAGAAAGTCTAAAGGTGGCAACACTACTCTAGAAGATAAAACACTTGATGTCTCAGGAATCCAGATTTACTGAAGAACCAGAAACACACTTTTTCCAGAAAAATTTTCATTATCTTTATCAGGCTAAATTAGGAAGAGACAGAGAACACAAAATGCCTACACAGAGTCTTTTGTGCTTCTGCTCGTCAAAGTAATAGATGAGTTCTGCATCTATTCTCAGGCCACGTGGTGCACTGTCCTGGACAAACCGAGATGGTACCTGCTGTGAGGAGCTGTCACTGGGGAAAAGATGACAGCAATATTTTTTTCTGCATCGTGCATTTCTCTACCTACTTTCTATTTGTTTCTCTACCTGTTTCAGGGGCTCAACTGGTGACGTGCTTACACATAGTAACCTGGTAAGCACGTGTAATGCTGCATCGTGGCTTCTATCTTACAGTTACAGGTTTGATCCCCTTCCTTCTCAAAAGCAAGGACTCTAGGAAGAAGAGAGAAGATGGTTCAAGCTGTTTCCAAGCCGTGCTGGATATACTGACCATTTGTTCTTGGCTTTGTGGAGAACCAGTGGCACCATTTAAGATCCATTGCAAGTTCTGCTCCCCCATGACAATGCTGGACTGCAGAATAGCGGTGCTCTGGGAAGGAGTAATGGTTATTGTGGGGTTACTGGTCAGGACAGAGTTCGCACCGACAGGCACAGTCTGGACTAGGGCTGGCAGGGGCTCGGTGGCACTGGAGGCTGCTGGGGCAGGTGGCCCAGCGACCACGGAGACTCCCTGGACAATGGGCTGCGGCGGTGTCTGAGTATGCTGCAGGAAGTCTTGGTGACTGGCTGCAAACTGTGTGCTGTGAGGAACAGGCACTTCTGGGGATTGTAAAACAGTTGCAGGATTTCCAAACGCAGCTGGCTGTGAGCTGGTTCCTACGGAGGAGGGAGCAGCAGGGGCTGCTGAGGCTTGTAGTGCTGAGTGGGGAGGCTCCGAGATGCCAAGCTGCAGCACGAGTGGAAGAGAGAGCGGTGCCGAGTCCCCTGCGGCGGGGGGGGCGGGCGCCGCCGGGGGCGGCAGCCGCCGGCTCTGCCTCGCCGTTAAAACCCTCAATCAAGGCAGCTGCCAAAAGAAACAAAAATGTAAATACATCAGTTCTCAGAACATCTGAATGAGGCACTTCTTCAATGAACTGATCAGCTGGCTGATGGCTTTTCCTAAGCGGAGCATCACCAGGTTCACATCTTCAGAGCAGTGCTCAAAGCCACAACACCAGGTGGTGAAATCTACAGGTAGGCCCGAAGTCAGGAGTCTGGTAACACTGAATGCTGCACACCAGCTCATCAGCCTCATCCACTCGCTCTCTAAAAAGCCTTTCTAACAGCCAGTTTGTGCAGCTACATCAAGAGAGGAAGCTTTTAAACAATGCTTATGTGGAAAGTTAAGAGCATGAGTGTCAGCAGCGTGTGACAAGGTGCAGTAAATACCAGGCCAGCTCCTCCATCACTGGGTGTTACCATCTGCCCATACAACACCCTTCAACTCAAAACAATTGCAACACTGACGTTAAAATTCTGTTTGTTACTTAGAGTTATGTGGGTGAATTATGCAGCAGTGATCTTCAGCCTGAAATGCCAAATTACATACAGGGACACACAGGGAGAAAATTGTCAAAAAGCTCTGCTGAAACAGTGCAGATACAATCCATACCTGTCTGCTGAGAGTCGTCCTGATTCGCAGTGTGATCTGGGCTCTGAAACATTGACTCGAAGATGCTTGCTGGTGAGATTGTGCTAAGGTCTTGTCCATGGGTCTGGCAAAGAGAAAATAAAGAGGAAGACATCACAGAATGGCTTAGGTTGGAAGGGACCCTAGAGGTCATCTCATCCAACCTCCCTGCCATGGGCAGAGCTGCCTCTCAACCAGATCAGGTTGCTCAAGGCCTCATCCAACCTGGCCCTGAACACCTCCAGGGAGGGGACATACAAAACCTCTCTTCTGAGCAATCTAGTTCAGAGTCTGGCCACCCTCATACTGAAGAACTTCTTCCTAAGATCTAGTCTAAACCTACTCTCCTTGAGTATAAAACCACTTCCCCTTGTCCTGTCTGTGGACACTTGTGAAAATTCCCTCTCCAGCCTTCCTGGAGGTTCCCTTTAGGTATTGGGAGGCAGTTCTCAGGTCCCCCTAGAGTCTTCTCTCCTCCAGCCTGAACAATCCTAGTGCCCTCAGCCCATCCTCATAGCAGAGATACTCTGGGACCTGGATCATCTTTGTGGCCCTGCTCTGGACTTGTACCAACAGATGTATGTCCCTTTTATGGTGGGGACATCAGATAATATTATATCTTAAGTCTCCATCCACTTTGCACAAATCCCAGTCAAGCAGTGTAAGAATGCCAGAAATACCTCTCCAGTTCACCAGCCACCTTCAGAAAGGGCAACATATTCCACTTAGTGTAAAGTGGCACTTGTGGGGATATTTATTGTGCACAATCAAATCCACCAGTGTCATGAGCCAAACCTTACAATAACTAAGTCCTTCAAAAGCAAAATATATTCTTCTGCATCAACACTTAGTATTACAAGAAATAAGGATTAAAGTTAGAAACAGAAAAAGGCATTCCTTTGTTGTCAGTTGTTTGATACACCTTTTCTGGAGCAGAACAAACCAGCTCTGCTTAGATGGTATCCTGGGCTATGCACTACTGTCACCCACCCTGCTCAGGAACAGAGCACATTAAAAAGCTGCACACTGTCATTCCTTTGTGCCTTCATGTGGGGGCAGTCTCACCAGTACATAGTTTTCCTCTATGTAAAAATTTAAGCTCACTCAACAGTTACCAACAAGCACAAACATTATTATGGTAAGATCAAATGCAAAGCCTTTACAAATGGGCTGAATTAAGCACTGCATGTCTTGGAGGAAAATACCTCTCTTTCCATTAATTATTCTGCTTTTAGACAGAAATTTTTTTTTGTTCCAACATTCCAGAAAGGACAGCAACAACATGTCATATTTACGGGCTCAGTAGGATAAGAAACATTTTTTGTCAAGAGAGTCTGCTACAAAATGCTACAAGACACACAAAAACACCCCCCAGTATTCAGAACATCCAGAACAATTCCATCCACAGCCACTTATGCTGTGAAAGAGTGAATCTCCTCCATTAGGGAAAGGAAAGCTTAAAGCACAGTGTGCTGGAGGCCTGGACAAGCAACACAGAGGCCACCATTTGCTCATATCTAATTGGCTGTGTTCTCATTGACAAGCACATTGCCAGACAAAAGCAGAACTCAAATTACAGGTGAGGCAATTCCAGGACAGTAACTCACTGGATTAGAGTTCTCCCTCAATTCTGAATCTGTTGAGATGAGGCTTAAGTCGCTCAGACAAAGTGAGTGGCTTGTATCCTGTAAAGAAGAAAAAGAAATTAAGTTACATAGCAAAAAAAAAAAAATAGTGTCAGAAATGTTTTAAATTATTTTTCTTAGAGTCCATAAAATTTTGCCCATGTAGAATTTTTTTTTTTAACCTACATGTAACTCAAGTCTCAGTTCTAAAATCCAAGAAGCAACATCAGTAAGCACAGGATATTTGGTAGCTATTGGGACTCTTAACATCTCTTTTACATTACTTCCAAAAAAATTAAATCTAGAATTTTAGATTAGCAGAGGACAAATCAGTCTATATAAAACAGAAGTGCTACTTACCTCAGATACATTGCTATTGGGAAGTGCATTATAGGAAAGTCCTTTCTCATGACCTTTCATGTGGCTCTTGAGACTATACTGTGTACTGAAGGTCTTCTCACAGCCATTGCTGGGACAGAAGAAGGGTTTCTCCCCTACAGGCAGGGCAAAACAGACAAACTTACAAACATATCAGACAGGTACTTTCGAAGCACCTAGAAGGGTAAGGACATCTGACACAGAGGATGGTTCAATGGCACTTCACACATCCAGCCTTCCCGGGAGCCTTGCAGATAAAGCCTTCCATGTACCACGGGGGCCAGCACAAGAACACAGCACTGGATTTTTATGCATCATCAGTGACACACATGCAAACATGTGCATGGAACTCAAGAGCTGGCAGCTGCAAATGGAAGTGCAAAAACGGAACGCTGGGGATTGTTCTGACCCAGGCACAGGAGTTTGCACTTGGCCTTGTCAAACTTCACGTGGTTCCCACGGGAGGGATCCTCCAGCCTGCCCAGATCCCCCCGGGTGGCACCCCATCCCTCCAGCACATCAGCTGCACCACTCAGTTGGGTGGCACCCACATATTACACACAGGTACAGATACACAGTAGGAGTCTGAGAGTGAGCATAAACTGAATAAGCTCAATTAAAGAAAAAACCAAACCCTCAGGACTTACCAGTATGTGTCCTAACATGTGTTTTAAGGTGGTGGCTTGCAGCAAACGCCTTTCCACAGCCGTCATGCTCACACCTGAATGAGGCATCACAGCAGGGTTAGCATCAGGCTTCTCTGGGGCATTAGTTACAACCTGAGATCACACTCTGCACTAGCCCATGGAGTCTGAAAAGCAGGCCTAGTTCTCATCTGTGTTATAACCAGGGACCTCCCACCAGCTGCCCTGCCTGCCACAGCCTACAGCAGGGCTCCAAACAGGGCTCGAAAATTCAGCCAAAAGGTCAGCATTGGGGGGGGTCCTTCATAGAATAAACACCAATACAGCACAGAAGCAGCAATATGTTCCAAAAACATGATAATCGTGGCACACATCTATGTTTAAAACAACAGCTTGACTGTTGTCTGTGAAGAGAGCCATCTCACACACTTCTACCGGCAGCTGGTGGAGCTGTAGGGCATACGTGCTCAAACACCATCTGGCTCCACTAGTTTCTCATGAGAACAGCTCTTCACCAGGACACAGCTTTGGCCTTTTGGCAGGGGTGTCCCCGGGCCGTGCCCCGGGCCGGGTGCCCGCAGCGCAGCACGCACCGGAAGGGCCTCTCCCCAGTGTGGGTGCGGATGTGCTTCCGCAGGTCGCTGTGCGTCGTGAAGTACTTGCTGCAGCCCTCCGACTCGCAGTTAAACGTCTTCCCCGTGTGGAGCCTCTGGTGTGCTTTCAACCTAAGAGACACGCCAAAAACACCCTTCTATCACTTGCAGGATGAGACAGCCCCTACCTGACGCAAGTGAGGTGTGGATTCAAACGTGCAGGACGGGATCAAAGGCTTAATGCACCTGAGTGGAAGGTAACTAGCTCGTGAAAGTAACTGCTGGCACTTCCAAGGTCCTCAAGCAAATGTGAGAATTCCTGGTGTTTCTGCACCACCTTCAATACTACCGTAATATAAACAAGCTAAGTATGTCATCACAGGTTCTACTGTCCTACTCTTGCATTTCCACGTTTTGGGGGGTTACATTCACACCTGTACCTGGAAGGAGCACGACAACTGTATCCAGACACAAACAAAAAGCAGATGCGACCTGTGAATCAGCACCAGCTGCATCTGCCAGAGCAGGGGCAGAGGCCTCCCACCTGTACAGCGTGTTGAAGGCCTTCTCACAGCCCTGCACGTCACACTCGAACGGCTTCTCCTTGGTGTGCACTCGAACGTGGATTTTGAGGCTGTAGGAGGTCAGGAAGGCCTTGCCACAGCCCTCCTGATTGCAGACAAAAGTGTACTCCCCACGGTGGGTCTTCTGGTGAGTGCGCAGGTTCCCAGCAGTGCTGTAGGTGCGTGGACAGCCCTCAAAGGTGCACTGGTATCGCTTAACCTAAGAGACAAAATGCTGCACGCTTAATTTTTAAGCATTTCTGGAATCCAGACAGTAGAACTGAAGTCAAAGACAATGGAACAGATTTTCACCACAAAAGAAAAACCCCTGCCATTTAACTTAATATTTGTGCTGCACTGTGCGAGGAAGGAGTGGCACACAGTGGAAAGCAGGCTGACCTTACAGAGGAGTAATCCCACAGAAGAGGGGGAAAAAGAGTTTGAAATGTTTCTAGATAAAATTTTACAAAATCATTGGAAGGAGGCTAAGAAGCCATCAAACCTCTCTGCTATTCCTGTATGTAATGCCTGCACTTCATTCAGGGGCTTCTGGCAGAGCCACTCATTTGTGGAGGAGGGAGACATGGGAAAATGTACTTTGACAACCCAGCCTCAAAAGCACTGTCCTGTGTGCTGGATCCCCATTCACACCTCGAATGAGAACCATGGTTTTCACCATCTCCTGTGGTCCAACCATCAGTCCCTTTATTACTTCATTTTATCTCAAAAGCAGCTTTCTCTGTGCTCTGCTCCTTCCTGTGTTTACTGACACAGTCAATGCCTGAAGTGGGATGAATCAAAGGAGGTTACAGGTTTCTCAGCCACCCATCAGATCACCAGGAAACAATTTCACACTGAACTGGATTTTGGTACCTTCCCAGCTCCTGCAACATGCAGAAGGTTCCAGAGTGCAAGTCCTAGCACTTAATTAAGCCTCATCCTCTCTTGTGAAGTAGAAGGAATAAACCATCTGATATGCTTGAATAAATTTCTCTTCAACACCAGGTAGCAGACCAGCCTTTGACTGTTGCACTTGAGAAACCACAACATCTGAGCAATTATGGAGCCTGAGAGGCCTTGATGGTTGACAGGCAAGGAGAAGAATGTTCCAAAATATGTTGATTTGGAAATGTTTAGAAAGGCAATGCAAACTCACAAGAGAGGGGCAGGAACTTGAAGATTCAGTGTTCTAGCAGCTAGTCAGGAAGGTACCAGGGCAGGGGTAAGCCAGCCATCTCCTCTTTGCCAAGGCACAAGGCAGCCCTCTCACAGTACCGAGCCTCACTGCTCTCAAAAGGCTGCAGACTGACTTTGAAAAAAACAAGATACTGCACTGGGGGTTGATACCAAAGAACCAGTGGAGCTACACACAGCCAGCGTGGCACACTTGTGAGTTGCCACCCATCTCACTGCCCAACAGCCATTCCTTTCTCCTTTATACACACCCACCAGGAAGCACATTTGACCATCAAGGCTCTTTACTACCACAGCTGGAGAGCTGAGAACAGCATAACAAGGGATGCCCTGATGTACTGTCAGGCAAGCCTAAAATCATCTTATCTGAAGTCATGCTCCTCCTAGACTAATGGGAATTTAGGTGGATGTGTTGAGTAGGAGTAACACCAGAAACACACCATCCCTGGCATGCCAAGCACTGGAAATGGCACATACAACCAAACCTGTGGTTCATGCCTGCATCTGATCCTCCCTTGATTTTGTACAAGGCCATAAAAAGAGGAAAGATGTAAAAGACTGTTTTAATTGTGCAAATCTAGATTATATGACCCACAGCAACCTGAAGAGGAAGAGATTTTAGAGGCCTTCCTGTTTTTATCTAGTCACTCAGCATTAACAGAAGCCCCACACAGAGAAGAAAACAGTCATTGCACTGTAAAACAACTTGCCCTTAAGAGAAGAAAACAGTCATTGCACTGTAAATTAAGGGCAAGTTGTTTTAGAGCTCAAATCAGGTAAAAGTTACCAATAAACATCCAAGCATTACGATACAGTTACAACATAATTAACAAGTTTGGTTATGCTGAGCCAGTCAAAACCCAGCAGTGTAGACTGGCCACATCCAGAGCCAAGGCCCAAGAGCACCTTTTACCAGCTGAGGAGGAGCACGTTACCTTCACCAGGGACCATCAGGCTCAGTAAAATTTACACAGCAGCACAGAAGCAAACATTCCCTGTTAGAGTTTTAAGGCAGCTGGAAATTAACATTTCACATATGGCACTCCAGGACATTTTCCACAGTACCTCCCATAGCACCCAAGCAATCTGACAGGCAGGAGCTACCTAAAAATCAGGTGAAGGGTCTGTTAAACTTCCCAGGTGTTTACATTTAGGTCTAGAAAGTAAGAGTAAAGGAGAATGTTAATTACAGATCAGGGATCTGTTTCCTTGCTGCAAATGCAGATGTTCCAAGGAAGATGGGAGTGACACTGAGCCACAACGAAGGCCTTGCAGTGCTCCCCCTGCCCCTCAAGGCCAAACCTTCATTTCACAACCTGTTCTGAGGGGTACCTCAGAAGCAATACTACCACTGTGTCTTAAAGAACTTCCTGTAAAGCAGCAGAGTGTTTAGTGCTCTTTCCACATTTGGAGCATTAGCACAGCAACTAAGCACTGACTGTGCACACAGAACTATGCAGCTATTGAAGGACTCACAGCTACAGCAGCAAGCAGATGAAACGTGGGCAAAAAGATTTACAAGATGTAAAAGCATCACATATGCTGAGGGCTTATTTCCACTGCACTCTACAGTGCAACTTTCCCCATCCCAATTAATTCAAGAGATGGAAAATAAATTCAGATAAAGGATTTCACTAGGAAATTCCAGTTCTTACAAGGCTTTTTTTAAAATGAGGCGAGAAGAAATAAAATGAGTTAAACTGCACGTGCAGCCATCAGCCCTTTAGCTGGTGCACCCTGTCCTCAGGCACTGCAGACTGCACACTTGTTACCCCAGACAGAAAAGAAAGCGCTCGCATGCCTGACAGACCAACCCAAACATGAAGCTAAGAAGGCAGGATTCAGCAGCTGCTCATATGAAGAATAACTGAGCAGAAGGAATGCCTTAGGCATAAATTAGGCTTATTGAAAAAACCCCAGCCCAGAAGTTTGCTAGCTGCAGAGCTGGCCTCCCACAGCCCCCTCCCTCACTGCCCAGCCGGCGGTAACCAACGCTCCCTGCTCCTCTACATTATTCAGAGGGCTCAAACCCAGCTGCCCTCCTCAGCCAGGGCACACTGCTGAGGCTCTCCCTGCAGAGTGTCAGTTACACAGGCAGCTGACACCACTGGCACTGACACCTGTACAGAGCATCTCTCACTCCACTCAGAAAGGCACATCAAGGAGCCCAAAGTCATCACTGTGCTGCTGCTTCAGCCAGCTTTGCATTGCTTCTGCACCCAGCAGGCAAGAACCCCAAGCCAGTCTGCACCAGCCCTCCCCACTCTGCATGCAGGTAAAATTCATTAAGGACACAGAACTAAAAGTAATCACCATTTCAAATATGGAAGCTGACTTAAGCTTTCAAAAAAAGCTTCCCTCCTTTTCCTCTCACAGTTTCCCTGTAAGTGACACAATAAAACTACAAATAATTTTTAAGTCGGGCATCTTAAGTTTTATACTTTAGGTACCACCAACAAAATGGAATTTACCCTGTCACCTGGACTGTAATTTCTCTCCAGAGCGTGGTTAACCACAGAGTAACAGAGCTCATGTTCTCTTCAGTTATCTCTGAACACAAGAAATAATCAACCAAGCAAAAGAAAAATAGAAGGCCATTAAAAATCACATATGCTACTAATATAAACACGTTTCCAGTACAATATTTTCCTGCTCTCTAGTGTGTTATCACATGTCAAACCACGCTCCCTGGCTGCTGCACACGAGAGCAGCAGGGTACAGAGGGAGAACTGGGGACCCCTGCAGCTGGGCAGAGCTCACGGGAACCTGATCCACCCACTACACAGTGACCACAGCAAAAAGCTGCCAAAAAACACATTCTGAAACCAGCTAAAGCAACCCGATGAAAAACAGAATAAGCATTAAATTCACAGCCACACTTGGCCACTCACCTCTTTAAGCTTCGTTTCTGGGCATTCAGATTGCAAAGTGAGTGTCGCTCCTTCGATATTTCTTGGCATGGGAGTTGAACCAGGATTTATTGTTAGATGAATCTGATCTGGAGAAATAATGTGTTGCACATAACCCTGGGACATTCCTTCATGATCTGCTATTAAATGAAATCCTTCTTCATGACCCTCTGGTAAAAAAGGCAAGGGATCACCACACTGTCCTTCATCCTCGTCATCTTCCAACACGCTGTGGTCCTGCTCTATCAGAACAGTTGTCCTGTCATAGACCGTCCCCGACGATGAAGAAACCAGCCCGTTTTTATCAGCAAACCTCATCATATTGTCATCTTGGGTTAAATCGTCTTCCTCCACCTCGTAGTAGATAATGTTGCCTTCGGGGCTGTTCTCCCCCATGGCTCACCGCCTCTCAGTGCGATATCGTGAAGCTGCACAGTGACGACTCATCTGCAACAGACGGACGAGCGGCGGGGCTCAGGCGGCGGCAATCGGGCGGCTCTGCCCGGACCGACCGGCCGGGC